AAAGAGAAGGTGGGCTGTGATGCAGTCAGAACAAAGAACTCAGCAGGCCCATGAAGCCCTCTGAAGCTGGCATAGCCCTTCAGAGTTGTCACGATTAGGAGCAAGGGGTCTGGACCTTTATTACCACCCTATCCACCATAGCAGGCATCACAGTAGATGGTTGCAGAATAAACAAATGCATTAGTGGTCAATCCAGAGGGAAGTGTAAAAGGGAGGCAGCATCACAGAGGGGAGGGATCGCGATGGGTAAGGGCAGCCAGTCCTAGCTCTGGGCCAGGAGAGTCTTTCCTGCAGGGCTCTAGAATATTCAGTGCCCCCCTCAAAAGGAGAAGCCAGATCTCTAAGCCTAAACAAAGTGCTAAGATGAACACTCCAATTTCCTCTATGTAACCTGTCCTAGGAGCCCTCAGGGCAAGCTGGTACATTTTTAATGTTGTTGAGCTTAGGCATGACCCCACATTGAATCAACTTACAGTATTGAATTTATTTACTCTAGGATTCCAAGTTGTGACACACACCCAATGAAGAGTTCCTAAAAGTAAATAATTCAGGAGCTGTTCGCTCATAGAGGCCGGTGATGAGAAATTGCTAATCATAAAGACAGTCATCTTCAAAGGGCAGCCGCCCAGGAGGGTGGGATGGAATAAAGGAACCGCATGTTTCCCAGGCCTCAACATTCAGTCTCTGTGGGAAACGGGAAGAAGGAGAGCAGGGAGAATTAGAAGTCAAGAGGGAAGAGGAAAAGATGAGACAACTTAAGGGAAATAGGATTGATTTATTGAATATATGTTATCTCACTTAATCCTTTTTACAACCCTATGAACTACTCTTTTTTTTTTTTTTTTTATTTTGCCGTATGCGGGCCTCTCACTGTTGTACCCTCTTCCATTGCGGAGCCCAGGTTCCAGACGCGCAGGCTCAGCGGCCATGGCTCACGGGCCCAGCCTCTCCGTGGCATGTGGGATCTTCCCGGACTGGGGCATGAACCCGTGTCCCCAGCATCGGCAGGCAGAGTCTCAACCACTGCGCCACCAGGGAAGCCCTGAACTACTCTTTTTTTAAAAAATTTTTATTGGAGTATAGTTGATTTACAATGTTGTGTTAGTTTCTGCTGTACAGCAAAGTGAATCAGTTATACATATACATATAACCACTCTTTTTAATATTATTTTCCCATATAGGTCATTACAGAGCACTGAGCAGAGTTCCCTGTGCTGTACAGTAGATCCTTATTAGTTATCTAATTTTTTTTAAAGTCTTTACTGAATTTGTTACAACACTGCTTCTGTTTTATGTTTTGGTTTGTTGGCCGCGAGGCATGTGGGATCTTAGCTCCTCGACCAGGGATCGAACCTGCACCCCCTGCATTGGAAGGTGAAGTCCCAACCACTGGACCTCCAGGGAAGTCCCTAGTTATCTATTTTATGTATAGTAGTGTGTATATGTCAATCCCAATCTCCCAATTCATCCCTCTCCCCATTTCCCCCCGGTAACCATAAGTTTGTTTTCTATATCTGTGACTCTATTTCTGTTTTGTAAATAGGTTCATTTGTACCATTTTTTTAGATTCCACATATAAATGATATCATAAGATACTTGTCTTTCTCTTGTCTGACTTCACTTAGTATGATAATCTCTAGGTCCCTCCATGTTGCTGCAAATGGCATTATTTCATTCTTTTTTATGGCTGAGTAATATTCCATTGTGTATCTGTTCCACATCTTCTTTATCCATTCCTCTGTTGATAGACATTTAGGTTGCTTCCATGTCTTGTCTATTGTAAACAGTGCTGCAATGAACACTGGGGTGCATGTATACTTTCGGATTATGGTTTTCTCTGGATATATGCCCAGGAGTGGGATTGTTGGATCATATGGTAGTTCTATTTTTAGTTTTTTAAGGAAGCTCCATACTGTTCTACATAGTGGTTGTACCAGCTTACATTCCCACCAACAGTGTAGGAGGGTTCCCTTTTCTCCACACCCTCTCCAGCAATTATTGTTTGTAGATTTTGTGATGATGGCCATTCTGACTGGTGTGAGGTGGTACCTCACTGTAGTTTTGATTTGCATTTCTCTGATAATTAGTGATGTTTAGCATCTTTTCATGTGCTTTTTGGCCATCTGTATGTCTTCTTTCTTTCTTTTTGTTTTGGCCATGCTGTTTGGCTTGTGGGATCTTAGTTCCCCACCCAGGGATAGAACCCAGGCCTTGGCAGTGAAAGCTCCGAGTCCTAACCACTGGACCATCAAGGAACTCCCTGTATGTCTTCTTTGAAGAAATGGCTACTTAGATCATCTGCCTGGTTTTTGATTGGGTTGTTCATTTTTTTTTTTTTGATATAGAGCTGCATGAACGTATTACATTTTGGAGATTAATCCCTTGTCGGTTGCTTCATTTGCAAATATTTTCTCCCATTCTCTGGTTTGTCTTTTCATTTTATTTATGGTTTCTTTTGCTGTGCAGAAGCTTTTAAATTTAATTAGGTCCCATTTGTTTATTTTTGTTTTTATTTTCATTACTCTAGGCAGTGGATTAAAAAAGATATCGCTGCGATTTAGGTCAGAGTGTTCTACCTATGTTTTCTTCTAAGAGTTTTATAGTGTCTGACCTTACATTTAGGTCTTTGAACTACTCTTATTACAAGCTTTTCAGAGGAGGAAATTGAGATTCAAAAGGACTAATTGCAATCTCATGGGTGTGGGAAGAAATAGGAAGGGAAGGAGAAAGGAGTGAAGGGAGGAGAGAAGGGAAGAGACTGGAGTTGGGCAGGTTGATCAGAAAAGGGGGACAATTTTTGAAATGTTGCCAAAACATACTCATGCTGCCAGAACACCATGCTTCCTCCCTCTGCACCCAAACTGGGAAACCAAGAGGGACATAAGTCCCTGAACCCCCAGACCTCATTCTACCTTCTCCTTCTCCCTTCTCATACCTGCAGATCCTGCCTGAGGCACCCAAAGACCTCTGATGGCTTGTCTTTCCAGAGGTTTTAAACACGTGATCACAGAAATCAGTTTTGGCTTCAATTCTAATAGAATTTTCTTTTTAAATTTATTTTTAAAATTTTTATTTTTATTTATTTATTTTTGACTGCGTTGGGCCTTTGTTGCTATGCGCAGGCTTTCTCTAGTTGCAGCGAGCAGGGGCTGCTCTTTGTTGCGGTGCGCGGGCTTCTCATTGTGGTGGCTTCTCTTGTTGCGGAGCACAGGTTCTAGGTGCGTGGGCTTCGGTAGTTATGACACATGGGCTCAGTAGTGGTGGCGCACAGGCTTAGTTGCTCCACAGCATGTGGGATCTTCCTGAAACAGGGCTCGAACCCGTGTCCCCTGCATTGGCATGCAGATTCTTAACCACTGTGCCACCAGGGAAGCCCCTACTAATAGAATTTTCAACAATAAAATGAACACTCTCTGTACTACAGGAACTTTCAAATATGTTATTTCCTTTACTCTTCACAATAACCGTGCCAAAATAAAGAATTATTATTTCTATTTTTGTAGAAGATGAATCTGAAGCTCTGAGAGCTTGAGTAACTGGTCCAAGATCACACAGCTTGTGTCAGAACTGGTATTCTAAGCCAGGTTGGAGCCTACACACTTTTCACTTGACCGTCTTGCCTCAAAATTACTGAGGTCCATGAACCCCACATATATTGCCCTGGTCTTGCTTTTGATTGATCCAAACATTCAGGGTCCATCAGGGGCTGCAAATTTTGCATCGATCAGTTACCAGTACTGGGTATTTTATCTTTATTTAGGTAGTTCAATTTTTTTTTTTTTCGGTGACTGTTGGTATCCAGATAGCATACAGGCCTCCCTCAAATAAATTAAACTTCCCATCTGTACTGAGTCATTTGGCAAGAAGTGGTTCACAGCCAGTGCAAATAGAGGAAGAATGCAGGGAAAGGGGTGGGGTGGGGTCGGGGAAGACGTTTGTAATGTATGGAGCTGTGAGTGACAGCACCGCATTTTTGCCTCCCCGCAAATAACCAGCACCCCCATGTCAGTATTCACCCAAGAAGCTATTCAGTCTCTACTTTGGGTCTGTAGTCCCTTAGTGACCCCACAGCCAGCACCCACTGCCCCGTGCCTTTGGCAATCATCCTTGGCCTGGGACTGGCTCTATCCTGTGTGGATGCTGCCAATAGCCCCTCAAAGGATGGGAGCCCTGAGGCTCTGCCCTTCTGCAAGGTGGCTGGGAGGGACTAGGTGCTCCCAGGTCCTGGCAGTGCACTGAGAGATGGGTGCGAGCATTGAGTGAGGGTTGACAAGCCAGAGCCGGAGAGAAGAGGACCATTCTGGAAGCACACCCAAAAAACAGACGGCACTGCCCTCTCAGAACCGAACGAGGAGGCAGGAACCCCCTCAAACAGCCACACTGTGACCACTGCTATCAGGCAACCAAGGAGGTGCGTGAAAGGGGGTGGAAAGATGTTATTTCTCGGGGCATATGGAAGAACTGGAGTCAAGCAAATGCCAGGGACAATGTCAAAATGGCTTTAATCCTCAACCCTGGGTGGTGAAAAGAAAAAAAAATATGTATATATAATTTCTCTTAGCGCTGAGTTTGAGATCCCCTCTGCCATTTACCATTGTGGGACCTGGCACAAGGCACAGAAACTAAGGGCGGGTTATAATTCTTCTGGACAAGACTGCCAGGGAGGATTCAAGGGCTGGCACACACGGGGCGCAGGAAAAGTTAGTTCCCTTCTCTCTCACCCCCTCGGAAGGATTAGGAAGGATGCTTTGCTTTCTTCCCAGGTCGAGACCTCGACGAAGAGCAGGGCTTGCGACTGCTTTCGGAATTCTCTAAGGGGAGGGCCCTGGACGTGGCGGGCCGCAGCTGCCTCGAGGGCCCGCTACAAAGAGGCATTGTTCCCGGCCTGCCGGCTGGGCGGCGCTGGCTCCGCCGCGGGCCCGGGAGTGGGCAGGTTTGCTCCCGCCGAGGAGCAAGCACGGGGGCCAACCTCCAACAATAGTTTTGTTAAAAATCAGGAATGCAGCAAAGCGCCAGAGGCCGTTTATTTTCCCTCGGGGTGGGCCGGAGAGAAAGCCGCTCCCTTTCCTGGGCGGGATCGAGTCTTGTCCCGCCGGCGGTGTGGCCGCACCAAGTTCCGAGGTCCCCGGGGAGGCGGCAGGCCCCTTCCTCTCGGCAACTGCGCTCCTTTCCCAGCCCCACTCAGCCTGTTTTCTTCGGCGCCTGAAAAAGATGTTACGGCTCACAGGCCCGAAACCGGGATAAACTTAAGCTACCCTCACCCCACTGTAGTACCGGGAGATGGAAAATAGACACACACACACACACACACACACACACACACACACACACACACACCACCCCACACACCGGGAGATGGAAAATAGACACACACACACATACACACACACACACACACACACCCCCACACACACCCCACACACCTCGTTCCCTTCTACAAGGACACCCGGCACACACACACACACACACACACACACACACACACACACACCCCACCCCACCCCACACACCTCGTTCCCTTCTACAAGGACACCCGGCGCCTCCTTTGACAACTTCCCAGCCCCACGACGGCGGTGGTGGGGAGGGCGTCTCCGCTTGGAGGAGGGCGTCTGGGTCGCCACCCAGTTCCCTGGGGGCTTGTCCGCTGCCTCCGGGGCTCCCTTCCCGAGGCCAGGGCTCGAAAGAGGAGGGAACAGGGATTTGAGAGAATCTTTCTTCCCTGTGATCGCTGTCGGCTGTGCCCGCCTGCGGGTCTGGGGTCCTGCCCCCGCCGCTCCCGACACCCACCCGCTCCCTGCATCTCTGGTGACACTCGGCACTGCGGGGAGGATGAGGTCAAAGAAGTAGGCCGAGTCCAGATGGGAGAGCCAGGCTCCTTCCCGGTGGCCGGATCGTGTCCTTCCTCCCCTTCCAAGGACTGGTAGCCTTTGAGCGTCAGAGGGAAGGAAGCCTTAGACTCTTCCCAGAAAGTTGCGCTCTCATCTACCCAATTCTGCGTTACCCTCTGGGCCTCCCTTGGACCCTCTGGAGACCCGGGTGGAACCCGATCCCAGCTCGGGAAGGCGGCTGGGGCGTCGGAGGCCAGCCCTCGGCTCCGGGATCCGAGCCCTGCTCGCCCCCTCTGGATCCTACCTGTGCGCGGCGCCCGCACAGCACTGGTGACCCGCCTGGGAAGGGCTGGGCTGTGCTAGCCACGTGGAGCGTCATTTATTCATGTACACCGAGAAAGGGAGGCTGGGGTCCACACCTGTGAGTTCGCCTGCGGGTGCGTCTCCTCGCTGCTGGCAAGCCCAGTGGGAGGCCCGAGCCGGTGAAGTTGCTGGAAAACGGTGAACTCAGAGCTGGAGAGTTAGATGAATAAAAGGTATGGGGACATTAGGCTCGGACAGTCTGTTAACCCATCTCAACGTGACCAGATACTTCCGTGAGCCCCATAAGGCTCGCCCTTACCTAGATCCGTGTCCCCTTCCTCCTCTCTTTTGTGATGCGCCCCATCTGAGGTGTGTTAATACACGCACTCAGGTTACGGTTTAGTCGGGCTGTTTTTTGCACATGTATCTCTGCACTCTTCCTCTGTGGGCTGATTTCACAGGTTTACCGGCAGAGGGCAACCTTATTCTAAGTTCTCGAGGGCTCCTGGGCACGTCTCCTCTCTCCACCCAACCGCTGAGGTGGGACTTACGTCTTCCCTGTTTACAGCCACGACGTTCCCTTTCCTCATCGGGGTCCTCCAGAAGATCCAGCAGTGCTGGCTTCCCCCTCACTCGCAGTAAGGCTTAGGGGAGAGGGTCCCTGCGCATGTCCTCTCTGGCACAGCCAGTGTGAGCTGACTCCGTCCTGGTGACTCTCCTTTTATTCCCCCTCCTGAGAGCTGATCACATTTTAAGGAGCCACAAGGCCCCCACCTGAAGGAAAGCAGGCCCAGGGAGGCAGGGCGTTGGTGTGTGTGCCTGGGCGCATGCAGGGAGACAGAGAAAGAGAGAGCAGGACGGCTGAGCAGCCTCTGCAAGAGGGTGAGGGAAGGCTTTCCCTGCTTTCTGAAATCCCTTCGTTTTCCAGTTCAGCTAGCTTGTGGGAGCCCCTGCTCTGTGCCAGGCACTGGGTTGCACACTGTCTTCCTTAGGGGATGAGCTCTGGGCTTGGAGCTGTAAGATCCAGCTGGATTCTGGCTCTCTCCCTGTGAATTTCCTTTTAGAGAAGCACGTCTTGTTCATAGCATTTCCTATAAGTAATCAAACACTTGTACAGTCATTTTATCCGTTCAAGGCGTATTTCTATGTGCCAGTATAGGACCCCTGGCCGAGCTTGTAGTCAGACAATAAGCAATACATATAATAACTAGAGCATGTCTGTTGGAAGGGGGCCGATTGTATAGGGCTTTGCAGACATTTTATAGGCTCTAATGTGAATGATACGGGGACCCATTCGTGGGTTTTGCCCAACAGGTGGATACTTACTCTTCACAAGGATCACACTTGGCTGTGAATAGGAGGTAACAACAAAATGAGGGTAACAACAAAATGGTGATGATCCGGGGAGGTTCTCTCGGGGCAGGGGTGGAAAGAGGTGCTCAGATTCTGGATGTAGTTTTCAAAGTAGTAGAAAAAAAGATTCCTGCCCTCCTGTGAGGTGTGAAGGAAATCGAAGGTGACTCCAAGCAGTTGGAAGGATAGAGCTGCTGCTGAATGAGACTGGAAGACTGTGGAGGAAAGGTGGAGTAGAGCTGTATTTTGAACATATTCAGGGTGAGGTATCTATTAGAAAAGCCAGTGGAGAGGTTGGCTAGGCAGACACTCGTGTCTCGGGAGGGCTGGGCTGGAGATGGAAATGGGGGGTTGTCGGGATAAATATAGGTGGTGCTGAAAACCCTAAGGATGGAGAGATCAGCGAGAGGATGAGTGAGACACAGGAGTCCAGCCCTGAGCCCGAGGCACCATCGTGCACATCACAGCTCCCATGATCCCCTCTGGCTCATGGCTCAGGCACAGGGCCTGCTCAGAGAGCATCTGGTAAATGGACAAACCATTTACCATCTGGTAAATGACTCTTACTTGCATCACACGTAAAATGAAAATTAACGTGGTACTCACCTCAGAAGGTTGTCTTCAGGAAAAGTTAAATGAGGTCACAAAAGTGAAAATGCCTTACAAGTAGCAGGCGCTCAGTGTACCTTAAAAATGTAGGTTCGAGGACTTCCCTGGTGGCGCAGTGGTTGAGAGTCCGCCTGCCGATGCACGGGACACAGGTTTGTGCCCCGGTCCGGGAAGATCCCACATGCCGCGGAGCGGCTGGGCCTGTGAGCCATGGCCGCGGAACCTGTGCGTCCAGAGCCTGTGCTCCGCAACGGGAGAGGCCACAACACTGAGAGGCCCTCGTACTGCAAAAAAAAAAAAAAAAAAAAAGTAGGTTCGATGATCTCATCCTCTTCTCTCTTGTTTGTAACTCAGGTTTATATGAACTTTACAGCTTATATTTCTTGATGGTATTGTCACAATAAATTCCTGATGCGTGCAGGCCAAACATTGTTATTCTCATTTTATGGGTGAGGAACGTGGGCTTCGGGAGGTCAAATAACTTCCTGAAGGCTCACCTCTGATAGTAATTCCACTGGCTTATGTATCTGCGTATGTCCGTGTCAGGCACTGGGTTACTGATTTTGCTTGCATCTTGCAAGGACACTCTTGAGGTGGGTATTATCATCTCCATTTGCAAATAAGGAAACTGAAGCATGGAGAGGATGGGTCACTTAGCCAAGGCCACGTGGTGAGTGCCCGGGTCATGAGCGAACCTCCCAATCCTGCATTGAATGGTCTGTTCCTCTTCCTCTTTTGCATCCTAGACTCCTGCCAGGACTGGGCCTTGCCACAGGCAGCGTGAGCGGCTGCCTCCAGGCTTTGAAGTTAGAAAAATTCTCTCTCCTCACACTTCTCTCCTACCAAGGCTGCTGCAGGATGCGAAAGTTCATTCACTCCTTGGGAACTTTCTAGAGCAAGCTGAGTCAAAGCATTTCGGTTCATTGTTCCCTCTCTCTGGAATGTCCTTTCCCCTCTTCTTTATATGGTGGATGACTCCTGTGCATTCTTCCGAATTCTGGTCAACTGCAGTTTGTTTTTCCAAATCCAGCTCGTGTGGTACTTCCACTGTGAAACCTTCCCTGCTTGCACCAGACAGAGTTAGTCACTACTTACTTCCCACGACACTTTGGTCATACCTCTCTCACAACAACGGACAGTTTCCTATGTGTTTGACTGATGCCACGGTAAGACTGTGATTTCCTCCAGGAAATCTTTTTTATTTTTCATGTCTTTGTATCCGATGTGGTATTTGCTTCATAAACACATAAATGAATGAGTGACCCCCCAATAATCACTATCAAAGCGATTTTATGGATATCAAATACTGTTTCAGAGATGAGGAAATAGACCCGCAGAAGTGACTGCGCAAAGCCATGCAGCTAATTAAATATTGGATCTGGAGCGCCAGAGAGGCGATGAGGTCGTGCCTTATGAAATCTCTTGACAACCGGTGAAGCCCAAAGACTCCACGCTACCTTTGCCTTCTCTTTGTGCCGCCACCCAGCGTCCTTGAACTCTCCCCCAAATGATCCTGCAGGTGGCAACAGAGGCCAAGGAAAGGTGCAGCTCCCGTCCTGAGCCCCTCTCCGGGCGTGTATGTAAGGAAGGCAAAGCTTTCTGAGGGTGGGGCAAGTGACTTGAAGGAATCCAAGCAAGAGAGAGAGTCTTATGTCTCCATCAAGTATAACTCAGAAAGAAATTGTTTAGACACTTGCAGTGTTAGCACTAGTTGTAACATGGATATGAGGAAAGGAAAAAAAACAACGAAAATAAAAGGACATCCAGTAACAAAGTGAAACCTTACGTTTGGATGGAAAAGCCACATGATCTGTCCCAAGTCACAGAAAGTGGGGAGGGGAGGGTCAGTTTCAGGGCCACTGCCCTGTGTCGTCTGCAAAGCAGGTTTCTGCCTGGTAGAGGAACCCGGTGTAGTCCAAGTACATTCGCTCCGACCGAGAGGCTGTTTGGTCATGGGCTGATGGCGACCTGGATCGTCAGAGCTTCTGGCTTGTGGGACTGTGTCCCCCTCTGCTCTAATAAACATTTACCAACAGCTCATTAAAAAGCAGAGGAGGGCTTCCCTGATGGCGCAGTGGTTGAGAATCTGCCTGCCGATGCAGGGGACATGGGTTCGTGCCCCGGTTCGGGAAGATCCCACATGCCGCGGAGCGGCTGGGCCCGTGAGCCATGGCCGCTGAGCCTGCGCATCCGGAGCCTGTGCTCCGCAACGGGAGAGGCCTCAACAGTGAGAGGCCCGCGTACCGCAAAAAAAAAAAAAAAAAAAAAAGCAGAGGAAAGGCCATCCAGTTTGCCAAGGACAGGAAACTCTTGAGTCCTACAAGTACCCACGTGGAAGAGTGGGCAACAGGGAGATGGAACAAGGGGACATTTACCCTGTGCTCAAAATAGTTGGGCAGAGATAGCATGGAAGAGGCCTGGCTGGAGTAGTGGTGTGTGTGGGGAAGCACAGGGCTGGGGCCTTTGTGATAACAACTCCTGTTTGTGCAGCAATTCCATGATCTTTTTACTCCTCTCCACAGGCTAGGAGGTGGTAATGGGGAAACCGAGGCTGGGAGCATCTCGTCTGATTACCCACGTGTGGTGGAGCTATAGCGTGAATTGCATTTCTGTGACTCTTGGGTTATTCTCTGCTTTGGCCCCATGTCTCTAACCAGGCTGCATGTTCTGCTCCTTCTTTTTTCAGAACATCGTTCATCTCCAATCCAGCCATCTGCCCTATTATAGGAGCTGTTATCTGTCTCTTTCTGGGGCTGTACAACTTCTGCATTTGGTCTTATCCTTTCTTTCTTCCCATTAATTTGACATATGCTATAGGAGTAGGGTCGTCAGATATAGCAAAAACCAAAAACGAGATGTTCAGTTAAATTGGAAATTTAGAAAAAATGAATAATTTTTATTGTATGGACATATTAAAATGTTTCCGTTTATCTAGGGGACTTCCCTGGCCATCCAGTGGCTAAGACTCCACGCTTCCAATGCAGGGGGTGAAGATTCAATCCCTGGTTGGGGAACTAAGATCCCACATGCCGCGTGGCATGCCCCCCCCCAAAAAGTTTCTGTTTATCTAAAACTCAGATTTAACTGAGCACCTGTATTTTATCTGGCAACTCTACATGCAAGTGACAGTTCTGAACAACCATTTACGTCATTCTGAAGATGTCCAATTTCCCTGTTAGCTATAGGGCTGAGGCCATAAGCTTCTGTGGAGTGTGGGCAGGGGACATAAATGTATGAATTGAGTGATGAGTAATAGGAACGGGGCCTGGAACTAAATTGAAAATCGAAGAGCAAATATTCCCCCACTCTAGACATTCAAATTCAGAATATTATAATAGTATTAAGTATTTTTTTTATTATTATTTTTTTTTGCAGTACGAGGGCCTCTCCCGTTGTGGAGCACAGGCTCCGGACGCGTAGGCTCAGCGGCCATGGCTCACGGGCCCAGCCACTCCGCGGCA